AGAAGTCACAGATGTCTATTTAGTAAACATAAACAAATATGAGAGTTGGTTCAAATTTGCTTTATTGATTGCTCAGAAAATCTAGATGATAAATGCAGTCTCAGTGTCCAGTCATTTAGTTTAACGTTCAATCAAAACTTGAATAGAACTCTCCAGTAGTAGGAAAGTGAGTAACAATACACCTATAATGCCTTTGTGTAGTGAACTTGGTGTTGAGTGAAATACATTCGATTCAATGAAAGGTATAACTCCCCTTAAGGTTGCAAACACACTTTGTCCATGATTATCAATAAATACGGGACGGTTTTGTTATTTATACTGAAATACCTAAATCTATTAGTCACCGTTAAGTTAAGGAAAATCGTGCTTTTCTAGTTAATCTGTTTTGAGATGGTCACTAACCTTAGACAAATCTGCTTTCGAAAAATATATGAAACCTTAGGGTAATATCATTTACTATAAAATGTCCAGCGTAACTTATTTTTGGATCCTATCATTTAGAGAAATACAGATGATCCATTAAGTATATAGATATAGTTGTCTTATTTATAATTTTTGACATATACATGAAACTGACATGGATTATGTATACGAAGTGATACCGGACTGATTATGTATGTAACCACAAACCACCAATTACATTTCGTTGCAAATCTTAATTTAAAAGTCTTACATGATAGCACTTCAGTTTCTAATAGAATAGATGGGTGTTTCAAGTTTGATTCAGAACACGTCGAAATGACTGGTGGTAAGATGAGATTTTTGTTAAATGATCGAGAATTTCTAATTAAGTTGCTAACCTTTTATCTACTTCTATGTTCACTCAAAAGTGATACAAAACTGTTTCTTCATTCATACTGCTTAAACTATTTGGTACATACCGCCATGTTGCATATTAGGTTCTTTCAAACAAAAAGGAACGAATTTTTTTAATGTAAGACATTCTTATGTTGCTAGCCAAAAGAGATAGTCAAATTTACTCCTAGCAGTATCCCTGGTTCTGATATTTTTACGAGAAATGAGGACTATGAAGTCTATCTAAGTAATCTTTTATAAATTAATCAATTAAAACCTAACAGCACATTTTATCTATTTTGATAAAATGATTTGTTCGTATTATGAACTGGTCCTTGTTAAACAACCACTGAAAGCCAGTAAACAATGGACAGTTGTGTTGTCCTAGTACAAGCCTCCTCAGTGGTCAAGTAAGCTATGGAAACTCAACAGTTTCCAAGACCTCGTGTAGCGATAAATGGATTGCAGCAATTCTAGTAGTTTGAACCAAATTTACCTCATAAGTTAATATTATCTGGAGAATCATTAAAACCCGGAAACTACCAAAATACATATCGATCGGTAGCAATCATCAATAGTGAATAAACAAACTTAGTATTAACTTAAATTTACAGAACTCAGGGATATTCATTTCAAAGTAGGTCGGTGAAGGCATAAGATTCTGTGAAAAAAATTTCTTGTCAATGATTTAATCTAATTAACCTGTACAATCGTATTCATAATTATTTTTACTTGCTAAAATAGTAGTCTATAGGAAAATGGAATGGTGTTGAATAACTGAAAAACCTGAAGTGGCATATTGTAATTAATTGTTTACGAAAATCAGATATTGAAAGGAAATTAAGTAATAATTGGCTGGTGAAGAAGGTTACGGTGAAGATAACTGTCCACTTCATACCTATTAAGGACAGAAGAATTAAAAGTTTTAATAACGGCTAATTAATATTTTTGAAAATAGTTGGAAAGTAGAGAAAAATCACGGATTGTGGAAGATACAAAGGAAGGTTAAGACCATGGATGAATCCGGACTTAGTTGCTTACTCCTGTTACCCCTCATGGAGGAGCATAGGGCGACCACCAGCGTTCTCCACCAAACTCTGTCCTAAGCAATCCTTCTCAATTGCTCAACGATGACCCGTGGTGTCGCGATTTGGTCTGTGTACGATCGATCCTTATGGAATCCAGTCTGTTGATCTCGAAGTTCGGTGTCCTTCATGCACCACTGTGCAGTGTAGTCCATCGTTTGAATTCCATATGACGTTGAAAATTTTCTCAGGTACCCCATAGTGTCGAGGAAGGTTCCATAAGGTTCTCTTATCCATGCTGTCAAAAGCCTTCTTAGAATCAAGGAAGTTAATGTGTAGTGGGGAGCTTCATTCAATTGATCGCTCAACGATGATCCTTAGTGTCATGATTTGGTCTGTGCACGATCAATCCTTACTGAATCCAGCCTATTGATATTGGATTCAGTGGCGCTAGCCTATTTAAGAGTTCCTCAAAGTGTTCTACTCATCCGTTCCTCTATTCTTGAACCTCAGTGATTGGCTTTCATTCTTTGTCATTGACCGGTCTATCTGGTTCGCTGTATTTCCTTACCAGTTTCTTCGTTGTGTCATATATTGGTCTGATATTTCCTTCGCTTTCAGCTTTTTCCACTGTTCATGCTAGGTCTTCCACGTATTTCTACTTGTCAGCTCTAATGATCCTCATCGCTTGCTTGTTTGTTTCTGTATATTCAGCTTGTACCTTGACTTTCTCTGTTCTTGTTCGGCTGTTGTTAATTGCTGCCTTCGTCTTCTTCCTTTCTTCAATATTGTCCAGGGTTCCCATGGAGATTCATTTCTTATGATGATGCTTCTTGTGGCCTAGCACCTCCTAACACTTTGGAGTTAGTGTTGTTTTAATCCATCTCAAGTTGCCCTCCATAGTAGTTTCATCTTCTTGGAGTAGATCTTGTAAGGCTTGGAAACTGTTGTTGTTTAGAGCTTTCTTAAATCCGTTGAGTTTGTCAGCATCTCGAGAGAATGCTGTATTAAATCTTTTAAATACTGTCTCTCCAGTGCTTCCCTAGCTTCAGTTTCATCTTGGCAACCACCAGTCGTTAGTGATCTGAGGCTACGTCAGCTCTTCTCATGGTTCTCACGTCTTTCATCGACCTTCTGAATTTTTCACTGGTCCATATGTGATCTATCTAATTCTCTGTAGTGTGATATGGTTCAGTGAGACACACGAAGCTTTGCGTATGTGTTTGTGTAGGAATATTGTGCAACCTATTACCATTTTGTTGAATGCACATAGATTTGCAAATCTCTCACCATTCTCGTTCATTTCTCCCAGTCACTCCATGTCGTCCGATTATATCTTCATATCCGATATTGTTCATTCCAACTTTGACGTTTATCTCTCCCATCAGAATGGTGAGATCCTTTCTTGGGCACTTCGCTACGATTGATTCCAGCCTCTCATAGAACTGGTCTTTATCGTCATCGTTGCTATCATTGGTGGTTGTATAAATTGAATAAAATTCATTGTGATTCCCTCCTTCTTTATTTGCGGGATGCTTTGGTGATCATGGGTCCATAAGATTCCCATCCTACATGTGCTTTACGTGTTTCTTTATATAGCATCAAAGCAACTCCCTGAGTGTGTGGAGCATTTTCTTCCTCGTGACCAGAGTACAGCAGTATCTCTCCGGAATCTATCCTTTTCTGTCCATCTTGGGTCCAATGAGTTTCACTGATTCCGAGCACCACCAAATTGGGTCTCCTCATTTTTGTAGCTATTTGGTTGGTCCTCCAGTTCTCCCACATTGTCCGAACATTCCATGTACCTATAATAATTGTTACTCTGATTGTTAGAAGGCGCATCATCCCCATGACTTGAGAAGAATCTGGCCTATCACCATGAGGTGTTATAATTCATCTGAGACAAGACCATTCAACTCCCAGGGTACAGTTTAAATTGTTTATTCTGGTTAGCGTTTTTATTTAGCAAGGTTGTTTTCTACGGGATGGGGATGCTGACCCCATGCTCAACTCTCCTCATTTACCCGTGCTTGAGACCGGCAGTAACCCTAGAAGAGCTACAAGCAATGTTATGAATGAGGTAATACTGTTTTTGTAAAAAAAAATGTTAGGCTTTAACTGACGGATAGTTACAGCCTTTGATGTGCATAAGCTTTCCATTTGCACTCCTCTTGAGTTGATTTTTCTGATTATATGGAAAATTTTGATGGAGTCTTCTTGTGCAGCAGTAACGAAAATTAACTGGATATTTCAAAATGAAGCTTTGACTGACTTGTGTAGTCAGTATCTAATCATTTCCATGGGTTTTGTGCATCCACGATCCAATAGCGAGTTAAACCCGAATTTTCATATTCTTGATTGTCAGCATATGAAAGTTACATGTAAGTTTGATATCACATCGAAGCCATCTAAATAAATATGGAACCGATTAAAATTTAAAAACCGATTTGTATTTCCAACAAACCTATAAATTCCTAGATATCTAATCTCGAGTCTTCTGATTTTCCATAAATAAATACATTTACATCATTTGTACGATTCTCTTTCTCCAACTGAGATAGATTACTTCATATGATTTGGGCATAAATAATAAGAACTAATATTTTGAACTACTCATATTTTAGCCAGTAGTAACCTGAGAAAAATAGAAACAAGCCAGCCATGTACATGCACAGTCTTACAAATCGTGCTACTTCAGAGAGAAAAGCTAATTTTAAGATGAATAGGCTGTTTGTTAAATCACTTGTGATTCCATCACAATAAATTACGAACGAGTTCCAAACTAAAACCCTTCCAAGCATCAACTCTGGGATTCAGGATTTCCCAATCTTCACATGTTTTCGCATAATTTTCGCTCACCTTGGACATAATTGTTAGTCCTCTTTAGTTCCTCGACCGTATCTGTTAGCTTAACGTGGTGGTTAGGCTTGCATATTGTAACGACTCCATCGAATGATATTGTCTAGAACACTTATTTCTTTAAAACTCACCATATCAAGCAGGTAGGATGGGGAATGGAAACTTAAAGGCCAAGTCCTGATGCCGATTATACAGGCGTGTGACAATAATATGGTGTTTCTTTCCGACAACCTGCGTCTATAACGACGTTGCCTTTTCACAATAGAAAGGAGTTTAAAAAAGTCGACGATGAAAGTGCCATACCTTATGGGTTTCCGCTGCCTGCAGTAAAGCCCTTTGAAATACAGAGCTAACATGATCGAAAAATTACCACAATGAAGCTGTGTGACCAATCTCAAACGATTGCTCCCTGGTCTGTGAGGCCATGTTTCCAGGGTGGTAGGACTACTAATAAAAGTTTCCTTTTCAAGTCGCAAAAAGAAATATTAAATTCCAAGCAATGTTATCCCAGAAATTCTGCTTCAAACTACTCTCTAGAGCTTTTAATGTCCGGACCGTACATCAACTTGAACAATGTCGCACAACCTGAGACCCTAGAACCTCGTGACATCGATGCAGTTTCCGAAACACGTATACATGACCCTATTGTGGTTCATTCACCTGATTTTACTGGCCAGTATGGGAAACCAACGCGATATACCCTTCGTGTATTTAGAGTAAGTATAGCACTAAGTTAGAAACTTGGACAGGGAATTCTTGTCGCCAATTAATTATGTACTGTCCGTCTCAATGGTACAAAAACAACTTAAGATAGAGACACGCATCACTGTCTCTTTATCGTTTCTGCCAGTACCACCACTAAATGCAGCTCAGATAGAGTAGACGACGAGTCTTACAAGAAAATTTATGACATTCAAAAAGTTAGAGCCTTAGATGCAGTAGTCGTAACAGGCGATTTTTAAAGCCCAAGTTGGTTGGCTGAGTCAAACTCAAAAACATTAGCATCAATTCATGACGTCACTGACTGTAGGTAGGTTCAGACTACCTGGTTAGCGTTCGCGTGATAACCGCGACCAAGGGTTACAGAATCTGGATGATATGGCTCGGAATAGTTCACAATGATGCAGATGCATTCGCTCTTTTTCTTTGAAATCTTCAAATTCATGATCCCTCTTTCCACATTCTTTTTAAATCACATTCCCATAGTTTAGTCCTCATTCTTAATACCACTACTATATAGTTTGGATCCTTTTTTATTTTCATCTAGTGTTAATCACTTATGGAAACTTGGGCCAGAGCACACCTGTTGATGATGACTGTCTGTCTAGGTATCTCTTAAGCTATATTTCACGAAGATATGACAAATTGGTTTGAGAATTACTACAATATTTTTAACATCTATCCAGCCGTTCAGTAATGTTATGACGACGTGGCCCCTCTAATTAATTATGTTTGGTATCATAAAATTGTTTAGCAATGATATACCTAATTATCTAGAACCCATAACTAGTTTAAAAAATCGATAATCTACTTCGAATCGAGAAGTCAATATTACTTTTTATTAAACCATCCAAAGAATAACAGAATCTGAGACTTTTATAATGAATATCACAGTCGGATACACTCTGTCAGTTTCCAGCCACTTTGAACGTCATCCAGTCTAATGAACGGATAGGTTTTAGACAGGGTGGAGGCAACCAGGTTAGTTGTGAAGTAAGTCTGTACAGTCATCGACTATTGTCCTGAACCATGTAGAGTGATTCAAGCTTTCCAAATGAGGTTTTGGATGTAAAGTTAATCAATGGTTGGATACTTTAGGTGGTATTTCTGAAAACAGCGTTAAATTTTAGGCTGAAAAATTGTTATTAAGATCTGAAATAGTTTGCCCAAATATATAAAGTGAAATAAACAATACCACAGTAACCGACCGCCCATATAATACTTTTAACAAAAGGAAAATAGTCATTAGCATTCTGAATTTCGAACAAAATTTCGTCATGGGAAATTAGACACTGCGAAAGACACTTTTACTATTCTATTAACAAAGGCAATCAACAAACGTCAAATCCATGCCTTGGATGAACGTAAATTAGGTATCATCAAAACCACTAACAATAACAATGTAGAGAAGAGGCGAGACCAAAAATATGAAATGTACATATATTTTACGTTACTACGAGTAACAAAGGGCTATGTAATACTTAGTGGATGAAGTCTAAAACAAGAAAAAACACCTTACGTTGGGTGAAATGAATCAAAATCATGTTATGTACTCAAATAATGAATAGTTGGAGCGAGAGAAACCAAATGATCTAGTTCATTCCAATTCTACTGGTTTGTCCCAGTTAAACTTTTGTCCCGGGACGACACCAACCGACTTGGATAGAGCATATGGATGTTTAGACCTGAAAAATGAAGTACGATATAATTTTACCTATTTACTTGTGACATATCAGCCACAGGAAGTAAACTTAAACTAAAAGAAAAATGAGATTGATAGACATAAGTGTACGGAAGATTGAGAGTGCAGTTTATAGCACAGTAGATAGTTGTCCGTAGATAGCACAAATGACAAAAACGCCTTAATAATCATCATAGTGACAGTGAAATACATGTCAGTTGCCAAAATCTTCAACTAATAAATTCAGCCGAGACGAATATACTGCCCATAAGATCAACAGTTTCACCACTGAGGACTTGTGGCACCCAATTTACCAACCCATTACTAATCACAATACGCCCTGAAAAGTGAAATGTTTACGGAACAATGTGTCACAGTTCTTACGTTATTTCCGAATGATACAAAAGTTCTTTAGCACTACAAATTATACCTTTTCCTCTTAATGAGTATGTACTGTGCACATAAGCGACAGCTTGGAACAGTAACCATTCAAGTAATGTTTAAGTTAGTTAACATACTAAATTACGAATCCGCTGAATATCTAGAAATAATTGGCGCCTACACCATGAATTTATCACGACTAAAAGCGACTACTTCTGGACTACACGAAAATACCCCTCTCGTCACAAAAACATACACTATGGATTTTACACTAGATCTAAATGAAATGTTCTACCGTAAATAGTGGGCCCAACAAAAAAAGGTTCAAATACAGTGAATCACTAGAGGGAATTATGGGAAGCTATTTAAGGTTCAGTTCTAGATACTTAGGAAGATGGTGTAAACTACACATAAAAATAACACTGAAGCGTGAGGTTACTGCATTTTAAGCATATAAAGAACTGCACTTAATGACTTAATTATAGTAACAACTAAACTGTCTCTAGTAGCTCAAGTACATAGTGTTCATCATCATACGTATAATTAATCGTTTTTAAAATATATTGAGTAACCCTGCTTAATGAGCGAGAAAACGTCAATTAATGAATCACCTAATCCCATGTATTTTTTTGCATCGTAACAAACACAAACATCTACATCAGTCAGTATCATCATGTAAAAAATTATTCGAGAGGCTCATGATAGATTGGCGGTTAGAGAACCTGACTTCCAACGACGAGCTATAAGTTTGACATTCCTCTCCATCTACTTTTATTTGACCAGACTTGTAGCATCGATAATCACAAAGTTAGAGTCAAGTCCTAACGCACAAAAATGTACTTGGGTACTGAGTTGCGCTAATTTGCTATTTTCCGCGTCATCCAAAAGTCACCAAGTTATTTTATTAATATTAAATATCCCTCTAAGACAGAAGAGAGACCAACAAACCGTTAGGTAACCTCCTTGTACCAATATCTATGTGTTAAAATAATAACAAATAAATAAGGTAACCCAATAATTTTTAATCCAGACGAGTCTGGAAAATACATATTAGCGACTAGGAAGTATCCGATAAAACTCGGATGCAGCTATCTTTGTTTCCAATACATGAATGCATACACAGGAATGAGAAGTGATTGAATCTTTTAGTAAGGAATGACCTGTGTGCACAGTTTAGTGGTATTTGAACTAGTTATCATGGGCAGAATCCATTGATTGAGTCTCCATTTCGCAATAAGGACGATTCTAGACTATCAATTACTAGTTCAGAGTAGCTATACTAAATTGATGTTAAAAATGTTCCTACGAACAATATTGATAAGAATAATCAAAAATATATGAAAGTAATGTGAAAGACATCTCAACTTATAAACTCAATTTTAAAACTAATCTGAATGCATCACACCGAGTGGATTTAATTTGGCAATAATCGACAGCTTAAAAAAGTGCAGACACTTGGTGATAAAATGGATAATTGCAGCACGAATTTTCACTAGAGCCAGGAAAGTGACTGAAACGAAAGAACTTAGAATTACAGACAATATAAATTAGGGTCCATGTTAGCTATTACAAAGTTAATAGTTATTAAGACAATCAAATTACGAAATCTTCCGAATTAAATGTTACGGGGCTGTTGGTTTAACGCCTCACCAGCAGCCTGTGTTGTACATGATGTTGAGCACCTTGTGTCAGAGTTCAACCACTTGAGAGTGTTAATTAAATTCTTTAGACGGTTGGCAACCAAATATAAACGTAAGTGGCAAAATGATGAAACTCACTCTGACCCAGCTTCAAGCCTTTTCAGGCCAGAAACATAAATATCAACAGGTTTCTTAACTTCGCGTCGCCCATCTCGAGCAAAGTAATCATTATGTGATATCTTGTCATTTATGCCATTGGGAAGATAAGCAGGTGGCTGAGTCCGTTTAGAGCATTGTTCAGCATATCTAAGAGAATTATTATATTCCCTTCCAATAAGGAAGTCCCGGACATGAGCCATAAAATAAGTCAACCGATCCCCACCTTTGATCGACATTTATAGGAGTACAGTGACAAGGTAAAAACGGTAATCCCTTTCAAATCTGTCCGCCGTTTTGTTTCAACGACCTTGAACGCGCTGACTGGAAGCGGTTCAAATGGTTCAAATGGTTGTGGACGGAATAGAAGAAGCTTTCGCTTAACAGGCTTCCGTGTCTAGTAGCAGGGGATCACCAAATCCTCCAGGCAGGAACCTAGGTATGTTAACAATAAAAAAGGAAAAGAAATTGGTAAATCATAATGTGATGCTGTCCTTGGTCCTTAAGAATAGGTCAAGTTGCCTCTTGAAGGACTCCTGAGAAGTCGCTTGGACTAGCTCGGCCGGCAGCGAATTCCAGCTTTTGACAACTCTTAAGGAGTAGAAGTTGTGTCTACATTTCGTCTTGCTATGTTGTGTTTCCAGTTTCTGGGTGTTACCCCTTAGGTTATTATTCGAACTAAGCTTAAGTAGGTGTTTAAGAGGATGTCAAGAAGTGTTAAGAATACTATAAGCCATTAGTAAATCACCTCTAAGACGCCTATATTCTAGTGGGTAAAGGTCTAGTGAACGGAGGCGTTCTTCGTAAGGCTTAGATTTGAGTCCTCGAACTGATTTCGTGGCTCGCCGTTGGATACTCTCCAAAGTGACTTTGTCCTTATGGAGTGAGGGGGGGAGTACTATTTTTCCGTACTCTAAATGGGGACGGATGAAACTATTGAAGATTGTGTGGAAAGTTCTTCCGTCAAACTGGCCAAAAATGCGCTTCAACGTTACCAGTGCAAGGTTTGCTCGGAAGGCATTTTTGTCACAGTTAGCGTAAGACTAAGTCATGGGGCACCAGGACTCCTAAATCTTTTTCGACTTGGGCATCCCGTATTTCAATTGCCGTGTGTGTGTTGGGTCCTATGAGTATTAAATGTTTCCATATATAAGTCATCTTTTGATGCATAAT